TTGTTGACAACTATGCGTCGCTTAACATACGTCACGCACTCTGTTGCTCTTATTGGTTGTAGGTCTATCCAATTGAGTGCAGAGGCATTTTTTTTCCTGGTTCGTTCGAAACACGCCCCATAATCACAGCTCTATGGAGCAGTATCAGACTCATATTCTGACTAGAATTGAGTAGGACTACGTCAGGCTATCGACTCATTGACTCAAATGCAATCCTTTACACTAAGCATAGTTGTAGCGACAGTGGAGAGGAATAACTCCCTTTTAACAGGAAGAAACTTCCAGCAGAACCAGGCTCAGTGTGAGCGGCCATCTGCAGAGGCCAACTGGGGTTCAAGGAGACAGAAGCAGAGATTCAAAAAGCAGCTGTAAAAGGCTAACCTGACAACAGCCAGATGCATGTCTCGCTCCGCCTATCTCCACTCACATACATCTGGGACACCACTCATTGAAACTGATTTCCCCAACCGAATTTATGGTCTGGCCAATCAGGATGCAGGGCAGGTGTGTCCTGCATGTGACGTAGTGGAGAAGCAAGTTCTGTAAGTCGTTTGTCTATACTTTTTTGGTTGGCTTCTTTTTTAAAAATAAGTGTGCTGTGCACAATGTTGCCTATTATCCGCACATTTTCATGGCACAAACGACATTGATCATTTACCGACATTGCGCTGATTCCACTGTTGCTATATCCAAGATGTCGGCTGTTCTGTTTTGTTTTTTTCCTGCGTAGCTCTCACAGCGTCACGGGTTAGCTTCGGTGTGAGTGGTTGAAATAGCACGTCGATAAAGATGACAGACAAGTGGCTTATCCAATCATATGCAAGGAGTTTTGATAAGGCCCAGCCTTCAGTAAAGACAATTCCTATTGCGGTGTCCCAGATGTATGTGAGTGGAGCTAGGTGGAGCGAGACATGCATCTGGCTGTTGTCAGGTTAGTAAAAGGCGGCCCTGTCCAGGAAACACACAGCCAGGCAGTGTGAGCTCTAAGCCAACTGCCATGTCAGATGATGAAGAGAGCATATCCAGCCAGTCACAGTCAGAGAAACAGGACTACACTGAAAAACAGGCTGATCACAAACATCTTTAAACAAAGGTTTTAATGGCAGCAGCACATCTGATATTTCTCTCCAGGATGGCGTCACAGCCAAACAGGAACAGATGAGGCGAAGCTACTCTGAGGAAAAGCAGAGAGAGCATAACGTTAGTGATTGAAATAACATATTCTGCAGAGTGGGAGAATAGAGATGGAATGAAGCAGAATGATGAAATAAGGGTCCCTATGTCCTCCAGAAGTCTAAGCTTATACCAGCAAAACTTAAGAGATAGCTCAGGATAACATGAGCTACTCTAACTATAAGCTTTATCAAAAAGGAAAGTTTTAACCCTACCCTAAAAGTAGACAGGGTGTCTGCCTCATGGACTAAAACTGGTAGTTGGTTCCACAGGATAGGAGCCTGATAACTAAAAGATCTGCCTCCCATTATATTTTTACAAATTCTAGGAACCACTAGTAAACCTGCAGATTGAGGTTTAAGAACATAAGGAACAATCATATCTTTGATATAAGATGGAGCTTGGCCATTTAAGGCTTTATATGCGAGAAGGAGGATTTTAAATTCTATTCTTGATTTAACAGGAAGCCAATGAAGAGAAGCCAGGATAGGAGAGATTTGAGCATTTTGGATCAGCTGAAGGCTTTTATCTATAGTTTGTGGACGTAGAGAATTACAATAGTCCAGCCTTGAAATAACAAATGTATGGACTAGTTTCTCAGTATCACCCCTAGACAGGATATTTCTAATATCTGCAATATTCCGCAGATGAAAGAAGGAAGTTTTAGAAACCTCTTTGATATGGGATTTAAATGACAGGTCCTGATAAACAATAAAACCAAGATTTTTTACTTTATTATCTGAAATCAGTTTAATCCCATCCAAATGAAGTGACTGACCAATCAGCTTAATTTTCAAAGACTCTGGTCCAAAGACTATAACTTCTGTTTTGTCTGTATTTAGAAGCAGAAAGTTAAGAGTTATCCAGGTTTTTATGTAATTAATGTATTGCGTTAGCTTTATCTGGATTTATAGACAGATATTGCTGGGTATCATCACCATAACAGTGGAAATTAATCCCATGCTGTCTAATAACTCTACTGATCGGGAGTATATATATATATATATATATAGTAAAGAGAATTGGTCCTAGCAGTGATTCCTGTGGTACTCCACAGGTAACCTTCGAGCATAAGTGAAGATTTTTCATTAGTATGAACAAACTAAAATCGAACCAGCCAGTCCTTTAATTCTAACAAAATATTCAAGTATTTCTAAAAGAATATTATGATCAACTGTTTTTATATTTGTACCATTATGATCCAGTTTAACACATCATATTGGTTAATATAGCAGACAGACAAGCTAACAAAATTTACAATAAAGGAAAGGGTTGAGACATGGATTCCATCTCAAAGCAAGTGCTGAAGCAGGCTATTTGCCTTATATAGACTTGTTGCATGGCTGTACACTGCCTCAGGAACGAAGCTTAAAGGTCCGTTTTAATCTCAGTAACACCATGGTCTCCTAGGCTGCATGAGGGGGTTTGGTAAAAGAGAGAACATCACGTATAAACATTCCTTGAGGGTCGCAGTGACTTTGACGCAAATCTGCGCACGTGCATTCCAGTAAGATGTCGGCAATATTCCGTTGTGCATGTGCGTACACATAGTGCAAAGATGAGACTATAAATGCTCTGTGGATTGGTATGTGAGTCGAGAACTTGCAAGAGAAAAAGCCAGATGTGTTCTGTTGAAATGTGAAGCGCTGTGTTACGTGTACTGAGGACAGCATGTGAATTTGATCTATAAAATAAACGCTTCTTCTCCCGTCCTGTGGCAATCAGATGATCGACTGAAGGTGTCCTGATTTTTTGACCATTGAAAACCACCACACAAGCACTTCCTAACCTGACTCCGCCAGATGGATTTGCTCTGCATATCCATCTGGAAACCTTCCGTAGAAGTAATTTTGGGAAGGGGCGAAAATACTGGTTAGCTGATTGGCCTATGTTGGTGATAGACGGGCCAAATAAACCAATCAGATCAACAAAGTATATGACCTAACAGAACAACGACGAAGAGGAGCCAATTGATAGATCAAACTCTTGCCGAAACCGTTCCCAGACCACCCCCGGAGCTGACGGCTCGGTTCTGCTGCACTGTAGTCGACCAAAATCCCGGTTAATTTTGAAATTCCCCTGGACATTTTTTTAGGTGTGAAAAGTAGGACATGTCCGGGAAAAAGGAGGACGTCTGGTCATCCTACCATATCAACAATCTCAATGTTTCAGTGAGTGAGTGCTTGTTGCTATGAGGCTTCTTTTCTCAGCAGCTTCGCTCGTTGTAAATCAACCAATAAGCGAACAGCTCATCTAAATATTCATGAGCATACCAGAAAAGGAAGAAAAACCTGTGTATTCATTCTAGGGCTTTTAACCAGGCTTGCATTAGGGCTCATAGAACAAGAAATATACCATTTTCAGCCCAACCAATGTTACATATCCCATTCAGAGACCTTAAGGACCAGCACCAAATACCCTATATAATCATTCTATGACCCCTTTGATTTCTCTTGGCACTGTTAAAATTTGTATGAAGGAGGTGTGATGAAGTTTGAAAGTATCCACGGTTGCAGCTGTAGTGGGACGTTATTGTTCCGAATATGACCTCCAAGATGTTTGTGAGAGGCTTTTGCTGGAATATTTCAACTCTGTGTAATATTTCAGAAAAAATTTTTTTTACGAGTGTACCAGGAAAAAAGCTTTGTTTTTAAAGTGTGGTGAGCTGACATCTGCCTTTCATTCCTTTTATCTGTGATATATATGATATCAGTTGTAGAAACAGGTTTGTATTTACAAATATTGTTTACAGATAAAAATGCGGAGGTTGCATTTTCCTCTCATCTCCCTCCTCAGAATTTTGGTCTGCTTCTCTGAAGTTGACCACTGTAACACTTGATTAGGGCTGGGTAAAAAAATCGATTTAATCAATTTTGAATCGATTCCTTTACATTTTTGCAAAATCAATGTCTAGGGAATAAGATTCAAATGAGCAGGAAAGATGCAGTCAAGATTACTTCAAGCCAGACAGATGCAAATATAGCCAATAGGTTGACTGAAGACATTAACAAATGGGGGCCTGACCAGCAAACACCCTGTGGTTGTTAAAGATAGGAGATAATGCATCTCATGCATGTCTGAGTGAGTGAGGCTTCACTTTTTCACTTTTCAAAAAACAAGTTTGCACTTATGAGAAAGATTTGTTCTCATCTCAAGTTTAAACTATCTGATTTACAAGTTTGCACTTTGTGTATAATATTACAGGAAAAAATAAAATACATGAGTATTTGGAACACATTTGAACCACTTTCATTATTTTAAAAACAGATCAAATCAAAATTAATCGATTTAGAACTTTTTAAATCAAAATCAAATCGATTCAGGACTTTGGCGAAAGTCATACTTCAGTTTTCTAAAAGTTTCTAAATAATATCTTTAGTGTTGTATAATGCTGAGTTACAATGACCTATCTTATAATTCCTCTGTAGACACCTGCTCCAGTTGGTGTTTGCACGTCTGAACATAGGAAGGTGCTCTTCTCATTTTTCATCAGATGGACATGGAAAAAGAGAATAATAATCTTTGGGTTATAGTTTGGGTCTTACCGGAATGGAAATCTAAATTTAATCTTTCTGGGTGGTTCTCAATTGACCTAGAAGAGCCACCCCAAGTATGGTCTGTTTATCGGAAACACTCTATGTAGCAGTTATAACATTTTCCCAGTTATCATATTTCTGTGCATGCACACTTGCTCAGTTTGTTTATCTGCATTGCTGTATGCTTTATCTTAAACGATTTGAAAGTTTTATTTCTATAACAGAAAAAGTTTGGAGTTTTTGTTAAATTGTTCCAAATTGCCCTATCATTTTCTGTCTTTTTTGACCTAGATGTACATTGCACTCATCTCTCTGCACGCTTTGGTCATGGTGGTCTTCCATTTCCTCAACTGTTTTGAAGATGATTGGACAAGTAAGTGCTTTTCTATTTCATCTATTGCTAGTCTGACAGTCTCAGTGATTAAATGACCCAAGCCATTCTGACATGAATTGATTACCGTATTTTCACGACTATAAGGCGTGCTTAAACCTCTTTTTTTTCCCTCAAAATGTGCGGTGCGCCCTACGTGTGTTGTAACTGCGACTTTTGAGACCACCTCATTGAGGAGATGATGAAAGAGTGGCTGAATGTAAGGAGACCAGGTGTTTTTTTTCCACTCATCACCATCGCTGTTAAACTGTGACTCCATGCGTGCCCATCTCACAGCTGATGTGAAAAACATGGTGAAACAAATTAAGCTGTGCTTGCTGTTATTCAACCGCTTGACATCGGTGTGAACCGGACCCAGCAGGTGCAGCAGAAGCAGCGTGTTTACATGCAAAGTCAATGGTTGACGCGCGTTTTGAGCAGCAGGCGCTGCGCGTCGGGAGCGTTTAAGCATCTGCCAACGCGCTGCTGCTGCTCGAGATGGAAAAATTTAAGTTTTGCTGCTGGACGCGCCGCATCAACCAATCAGAGAAGCTGATCTGGGAGCTGACAGCGAGACAGACACATCGCTCTGATGACATATGATATTAAGGCAAATGAAAAAGGCTGGATGGATGAGGAGATGATGAAAGCGTGGCTGAGGCAGGTGTATGTGAGGAGACCAGGTGGTTTTTTCCACGCATCACCATCGCTGTTAATCTGTGACTGCGTGCGTGCCCATCTCACAGCCGATGTGAAAAAAAAGGTGAATCAAATGAACGCTGTGCTCGCCGTTATCCCGGGGGGTCTGACAAAGGAACTTCAACCGCTCGACATCGGTGTGAACCGGCCGTTCAAAGTAAGGCTGCGAGCGGCGTGGGAGCGATGGATGACCGACGGAGACCACAGTTTCAGGAAAAGTGGAAGGCAGGGCTGGGCAAGTTACGCCACCGTTAGCGGATGGATTGTAGATGCTTAGACTAACGTTTCTGCTGGCTCTGTTGTTCGAGCTTTCGCAAAAGCCGTCATTATTTCTGAGGAGCCGCCCGGCACGGAAAGTGACTCTGACAGCGAAGAAGGGGAAACTGGCATGTCTGATTTAGCGCAGCTGTTTAATTCAGAAACAGAGGATGATGACTTTGATGGGTTTGATTAATACTTTGTCATAAATACATGAATAAAGCACAATCATACTCAGTTTTGCTCCCGCTCTATTTTTCTACCTGAAAACTTAATTCAACAGCAGCCTCTGGGCCGGGTCTCCTCCTCTTCACCGCGGTGGCTGGCAGGTGTTTTTTCATCTAAATAATCTAAATCTTGCAGCTATATTTGCTGTGATCAGTGGGAATAAAGTAGTTTCAATATGTTTTTAAGTGAGAAAGTCCACCTGAAAACTTAATAATTGCAGTCAGTTCATCCAGATTATTATCCTGCCTATACTATTTCTGTCGGAGGCGCTCAGACCCCCACATACCAGCGGTGCGCCGACAGTAGGAATCCCTTCAACAGCAGCCTCTGGGCCGGGTAGCCTCCGGGTTCACCGCGGTGGCTGGCAGGTGTTTTTCATCTAAATAATTTAAACTGCAGGCACCAGGATACTGGCAATAAAAGCAAACATATTCCGTCGGCAGGTTTCAAGATTTTAAGTCAATTTAGGAGTGATCACAGCTCTGTCATCTGCGATGTGTCTGTCTCACGGCCAGCTCCCAGGTTTGATTAATGCTTTGTAATAAATACATGAATATAGCACAGTCATACTCAGTTTTGCCCCCGCTGTATTTTTAAATACGCAGTAGAGGTATTTAAAGGTAGCAGAGGACATGTACCTGTGTATAAAAAACGCGCCCTATAGTCCGGTGCGCCTTATGTGTGTGTTAAATACAGAAATGGCACACATAACTGGGACTGCGCCTTTTAGTACGGTGCGCCTTATGGTCGTGAAAATACGGTAGGTAAATATGAACAAGTGGCACAAGTGATCAGTTATGATAACAAAAGGATTCAATACTGTTTTACTGATTTATACCTGAATAAATTCTGGGTTATTATTCTGGGAGTCCTTTACTTAGACTTTAATTTTTATATCCATTTATTACCTAGAATGCAGCTCCTTCTCTCCTCCTGCAACCGTGATCCTTCTTATCCTCCTGTGCTTTGAGGGTCTCCTTTTCCTCATCTTCACATCTGTGATGTTCGGCACCCAAATGCACTCCATCTGTACTGACGAGACAGTAAGTTACCTGTTTAGAGCCCTTCGGACTTCCTTTCATTCCTCTATCATCCTTACCTCCGCCAAGGGGGTTATATTTTCACCACTGTTAGTTTGTCTGTCCCAGAGAAGGTGCGTATTGTGACTGGCAACAAATCATTACATTTTGGAGATGATCTGGATCACCATTGGGATCCAGGAATTTTTCATTCATTGTCGACCTAATTACATCTCCACTTTCACAAAACCTTACCCTAATGTTCAGCAGGCTTTAAACAAACTAAATCACATTTTTATGAGGTATACATTTTTGCAGATTTATGTTCAAAGAGAAGATGTTGCCATATTGAAGTAAAACTATAAATAAACTTGCCATATTTTACACAAAAGCTATACTGGTTATCCAACTTGCTGCAGTAGGATTTCGTCTGTCAATGGCAGCATTGATATGTAGTGTTTCTGCTTTTAAGGTGTTACTTCAACTTCTTAAAAGAATGAAAATATGCTTGTGCACCATCCACCTCCTTTTCATACCTCTTTCATAAGTCTGTACATCTGCACTGAAATCTGAATGGCAGATCATCTCTCAAGATAAATAAAAAAAATTTAAAGTATTTTTTATAAAATATTTTTGCAGTTTGGTACTTTGGCAAAAGGACAATTGTATTCTTTTTCTCTTTTGCAATAATATATGTGTAGGAGTCTGGGTTTTAAGCTTTATAGGTCTCTAAACAAAACATATAGCACATGTACAAATAGAAAGTTTACTAAACTATAGCATAGACAGATACTAAGCCCAATTTCTGTCTCTGTGCCCCTGAATTGAAAAAAAAACTTCCCAGATTTGACTGGGTCAGATTAATAAAAGTAAAACAACAACAACAAAAAATACAAACAACCGGTGAGGCTACAAAGCAAAGCCCAACTTCATGACCAGCTTACACAGGATGCTCTGACACCATAAGAGATGGGTTTTACCTGCCCACAAAGCTTAGTATAAACTATGTTTAAAGAAAAGGAGAATGCAGCAACAAAGATTGTTGTTTATATAAGTACTGCATGAGGCAGTGAGAGGTGACTCTTTTTCTTTTCATAAAGAGGGGCGAGTGACAAGCTGTGCTCATCTTCTGAGTCTGGGTCTGCCCCTCGTTATTTTGTTTTTGAGGCTCAAATAGAATCACTATTTTACGTTCTCATTCCTGGTACTTTCTGATGATAACAGGAGGAAGCGGTAGCCGGCGTAGGCAAAAGTGTAGCCTTGCTGCGTAGATGAGAGACAATCTCCCACGCGCCTGACTGAAGCTGAAAATTTGATTTTTCAATGCCACAACGCCATTGTTTGTCTGCCGATGGATCCATGTTAGGGCAGATTATTCTGTCCGGCTTAGAACAGAAAGCTTAGAATTCTCAGAATGTTTACTGATAACAGAAACGGAGTAAGCAGTGTCAGCATCTATGGCAGGAACTTCTGTGGGTGGAGGCAGCTGGTTAGTGACCACGTCTTTCTGGGAGCGTTAAAATCACAAACTGTCAGGACTTAGAATGGTGGACCCAGAATTCAGGCTGACAGACCGAAGTGATTTATAAAAGCATTGGACTGCTTGGGAATTCAGCAGCTAGGACTAAATGGCCGCAACCCTTATAGAGGGGAAAACACAGGTTAATGACCACGTAACTCTGATGGAGGAAGATAACGAAAGTGTGAGTCACTTACGTGGTTATAAAGTTCAGTCCGAGCCCAGAGGAAGGAGTGGAATCCAGCCAGATGATTTTACACAGCATGCAGCGAACGCCACCCAGAGAGTTCCAGGAGCAGAAGCCAAGAGGGCTGCAGAGCCAGTTGTCAACGAAGCAAGTAGATGAGGAAGAGCAAGAGTTTCCGGAAGGAGAAGCCAAATATGGTGTAAATAAGGTAGCATAAGTCCAGGCTGTAAGATCAGTAGGGCTGGGTATTGTTCAAAAATTTTCGGTTCCGGTACCAATACCGATACCTTAACTTCGATACCGGTTCCTGAACGATACTTTTTTCGATACCAGTTTCATAATATCAGTTCGAAGAAAAAGAAAATTACACAACATTAAAAAGCACAAATCTTGAGTTTTATTTTAAGCTCTGATTTTTCCATTTACATTTTTCCTCTTACATAAAAAAAAATTTCAGTGTCTAATATTCACTGTTACATTGTGAGGACCTTTTTACTTAGCAGTTTTCCTTTAGAAAAATTACCATGTCTGACAAACAATCCCGTTGAATGGGATCCTACTGACAGAAATATTGGAAGGCAGGATGAACTGACTGCACTGATTAAGTTTTCAGGTGGATTTTCCCACTTAAAAACATAATAAAACTACTTTATTCCCACTGATCACAGCAAATATAGCTGCAAGGCAAATAAAGGATAGAGTAGCTCCGCCCAACGCGCGTCAGAGCCACTTTTCAACCACGCAGCCAGAGCAGCAAAGCTGTTAGGCCGCGCGTCAGAACTAAACTGGTACAAGCAGCAAAAAGGAAGCAGCAAACGCGATTTTGCTGCTCTTGTTGCGTCCAGTTTGAAAGCAGCATGATTCACTCCGCTCTGGCTTTGCACTGCCCACGGGCTGCTGAGAGGAGGATGGTTGCGCCGGCTGCGGTCCGCTCCTCTTGCAGTCAAACACCGAGCAACTTTCTGCTCTTAAATTGTTTCCGTGCACGATGTATTGCATTGCGCACTATTGGCATCAGTCTTAATAAAGTGAAGCCGCACTTTTGACCTGGGGGGCATTTTAAAGGGGTTCCACGACGCTCGCAACCAGTTCACAACAGATACACTTGAACCCTGGCTGTAGGCGTGACCACCTGTGTATTTTTCCTGGATGACGCAATCACGTTAAGTGTTACAGCCAATCACCGAAACTTGGTACCGAAAGACGAGGCATGTTTCGATACTCTGTAGAACCGAAGCATTTCGGTCGGTACCATAGAAGAACCGAAGTTCGGTACCCAGCCCTAAAGATCAGAGATCCAGAGGTACCATAGGGAATCCAAGCCAGGGTCGGGAGACAGATCCAAGGTTTTAAGCAGGCTGAATTCATCAGGAGTCCAAAGACAGGTCAGGCAGATAGATCAGAACAGGGGCAGGCAGGCTCACAGTGGTCCCGGAGCAGAAACTAGTCACAATCAGGCATTCAGAGTAACAGAAGGGGTACGCTATTGAACTTTCACCTACGGCTCGAAATATCTGGCACTGATGGCTGGAACCAAAAAAGTTTAAGTAGTAGCTGGAACAGGTTGATATGATGAAAGGTAATGAAAACTGTGCAGAGTTTGGCAGGTGGATGGAATGAACCAATAATTCAGTCATCAGTGTCAAGATCAGGCAGGTAGTCAGATCTGGCAGAATTCAGAAGACAGGTATGGCAAATGGATCAGATGGGAACAGGCAGGCTCAAAGAGACACAACAGGTGTTGTAAGATTGCTGGAATACGTCTCACCAAAGTCTCCAAATAATCTGGCACTGATAACTGTTCTGAAGGCAGTTTATATCTCCTTTCACCTTATCCACTAATGCAGGTGGATAAGAGGAGCGGGTATTAAGAACTGGGCAGAGCTAAGCAGGCGTGTGAAATAAGTCATCAGACCAGGCATCAGTGCTGAGATCATGACATCTCTTTTCTGTTTCTTTGTCTTGAATCATATTTATGGTTATTATGAGAATTTTAATTGGATATACACTGAAATTGCATATCCTGTGTATGTCCATGTTCAGTTTTTTTTATATTTTGGCCCATGTATATCTAAAAATATATTTGATTTCAGTATCGGCGTTCAAAATCAGAAATTTGGAGGTTGGTTAGATGTCTGTTTGATTTGGTAGGAGAGATGGACCCTGAGATAGTTCCTTTAACTGAAGAATCAGTTCAGTTTATTGGCACTATCTAGACTTCCATCTGTCTGATCCTCTTTTTGCTCAAGCACTGCGATGTTCTTCATTCCCTGTATAGCTCCTAACTTTTTGTTATTTTACCTTGAATTCAGGTACCAGATTGGATTGGAAGGGAAAATGAGAATCAGTGCATCTCTTCTTTGAATTATACTGTTTTCTGTATATACAGAAAGCAGGTTACCATTCAATTACTGCTCAGCAAAAGTAACTCATTACTAGCCAAAGTAACTATGCAGTTTCTTGTTTTAAAATGTCAGAATTTTTTAAAACTTTATTTTCAGTACAATTTTAAATTTAACTAGAGGTTCACATATATCATCTAATGTGTTTGTTATTAATTTATAAATAAATTATTATGACTATTCTCATTGTGACTTTATTCTCGTAAACTTACAACTTTATTCTCGAAAATAAAGATGAAAACTCTCTAGCCTGGCCCTAAGACTCGGCCGTAGAGGTGTACCCCTTAAAGGGGAGTTTCGGTTTTTTTCACATTGGGCCCCCTTGATTTTATGTTATTACGTCATGTTCTACTCACCCATATGAGTTTTGTGTCATTTGGAGCTGTTCTGAAAAAAAAAAAAAAAAACGAAATTCCCCTTTAAAGGTGTAGGGAAGTCATCCACCACCTCAGACACAAAACTCTCCTCCTCTTGCATATTTCCGCAGTCAAAAGTGTTCCTTGACAGTGTCATTGCTAAGTGCTACTTGAACCCAATGGAATTTCCCATTGGAACCTACTGGCACTAAGGTGCTAACTGGTTAGCAAGATGCTTTCGACAAACCGACCACAACTAAACTTGCTTGCGAACCTCCCGCCACAACAATCCCGCTCCCTTGATAAACCACCAATGACATTCACTTTATTCACCCGTGTTAATTCCGGCAGCCTTTAGCTTCAGGTTGCTATGCTCTTTCTAGGGGCTTTTCGAGGTTACTTGTGCTATTTTTAACCATAGACAGTTCCCTCACCTGCCAGCACATAAAGTGCTTCCTATTGTAGCCTCTTTCCGTCTGAAAATAGCGGCTTAACGCTTGATTTTCATACATGGGTCGACCCGCTAACAATTGGCATTTGGCTTCCCTCCCGCTGCCAAATAAAGCCGACTCTAACCCCTTGATGGCAAGCTGCGTGTCTGGTGTGCGCATCAACCCTAACCCAGCGTGATGGTGTCACCAGACATGACAGGAATTGGAGAAGTAAATGGAAGAAAGTATTGAAGAACAATATGTAAGGAAGGCATAGTCAGTGTGCTATATTGCTTTGCTTTTTTATTAGTCAGAATTTCTCTTACCAGTGGCCTTGGTCACCTTGTTTAGCGAATGTAAGCAGAGTTGTTTTGGCTTGTTACATCAGATGTGACTGCCAAGGTGCCTTGCGTCCTTACGTTCTGCTCAATGGTATCACGTAATGTAGGGAGTCAACCATGGTCTGGTGTTCCCACAGTACACTGATCAGAGCTGTGGCAATTTAAACACGGGTATCTTGCCGAGTCGTTTGGCCCGGGTCAGTGAGCCATTCCCACCGCTAATAAAAGCTTATTGTTCCCAGGTTTAAACTGGTTTTTCGGCCAGTAGGAAAGGGTGTTGTGGTGTTTCGGGGACATATTCAAAATAGCAGGAGTGTAGCCACTTTGACCCATTGTTCTTCTTCTGTTGTTTTTAAAACCATATTCTTCTGTTGTTTTAATACCATCCTCTTCTTTTATTGTTTTAGTCTTCTCCGAATGTAAAAGAGAAGACTTTTTTAGAAGACTTTTAGAGAAGAACTGACTTGTTCTCCCATTTATTTAGACTGTTGGTCGTGGGTTGTTCAGTTTAGATTCTAATGTGTTACTTTCCTAAGTAACTAATATTTTTACCAAAATTTTGCTCTTAACGCAGTTTATTACTCTGTTACTGTGGAACGTAATGTATTACGGTTATATATTATTGACAACACTGGTTTTCACTTTCTCTTAAAATGTAAGAAGAACATTTTTTTTTTTTTTTTTTTTTTATTCCTTTATTTAACCAGGAAAAGTCCCATTGAGATTAACAATCTCTTTTTCAAGGGAGTCCTGGCCAAGAGATTACATTACAAATTACATTACAGTTTACAATTACATATATCTAAAATTAGAAATTCATAAAACTATTACAAACCATAAATCTCATTTCCAAACCTTTGAGCAATCGTTTAAAATGTCTGATTGGAATCAAATCCTTCAAATTCTAGTCTTTCTGAAGATTGTTCCATGCTGTGGGGGCAGAGTACTGAAAAGCTGTCTTTCCAGCTTCAGTGCGGACACTAGGTACAGACAGAAGCAAAGACTCTTGAGAACGTAGAGAATACAGTCCAGCCGCTCTTGGTTGAATGTATTAATAGAGGTATAAGAAGAGCAGACGCAGAATACCCTTATAAATGATATTTTACCAGTGAGTGAGTCTACGAGTCTCTAATGCTGGCTATCCCACACGTATGTAAAGTTCACAGTGGTGTGTGCGAGGCTTACAATTTGTTATAAATCGCAGGGAGGCATGGTAAACTGAGTCTAACATTTTTAGAACTTGATCTGGGTAGAGACACGTGCACTAGGGTTTTTTCCAAAACTGTAAAAAACCATGTCATCAGCATAAAAAATGGTAGTTAGTGTCTATAAGATCCTGGCCAACATTGCTCACATAGATAGTAAAAAGTAGAGGCCCCAAAATGGAGCCTTGGGGCACTCCTTTAGTTAGTGACAATGTATTAGAACAAATTTTATCTTCTTTGACACATTGGGATTGATCAGTCAGATAATTACTGAACCATCCAACATTTTGTTTAGAGATTCCAGTATTGGTCAATCTATCTTCGAGTAAATTGTGGTTGACAGTGTCAACATTTTGGATAAATCAATGAAGAGTGCAGCACAATGTTGTTTATTGTCAAGAGCTGCCAAGATATTGTTCATCACTTTCAAAGTCACGGTGATGGTACTATGACCTTTTCTAAAACCTGACTGAAATTTACACAACAGATTATTAGAGTACAGATATTCTTTCAACTGTTTATTGATTAAAGATTCTAAAAAAAAGTTAAATGAATAAGGGAACAATCCTTAAGGAAAATGCGCTATTTCAAAAAATGTAAACCTGACCAGACATTTTGAATTTTATTGTAGTTCATAACGCTGGTGAACTTTTTTTTTTTTTAGCACCATTACCAATATTTTACAACCCACTTTTTGTTCAGAATAATAGTTGAAAAAAATAATAGACATGATTAAAGAAATCAGTTACCATGTATAGCAGTCCCCCCGAACCTTTTTTGCAATGGGGACCAGTTTAGTGTCATATAATCTTTACAAGGGCCAGTCTATAGTTGTGGTACACTGATGTCGCTATGTTAACATGAAATGTTTTTTTTAAATAAATCACCACAAAAGAAGAGTACATGAAAACAGCCCACTAACTACTCAAAATAGCACTGAGAGAGCGGTAGCCCTGAGCTTGTTTTGCTGCAACAAGACGTTGGGGATTTACAGCTGGAGATATCATTTGACCTATGGTGTTGTAAGCGCCATATGTCAAGAGTGAGTCAAACACGGATATAACAGAGATAATCTGTCATTTTTTAAAATAGATTATTAATTGTTTTTGTACTGTCCAGTGCAAAATGACACATGGACCTGTACCAGGCCGGGGCCTGGGGGTTGAGAGGCAGTGAGGTACAGTATTTAAAGGGGAATTTCGTTTTTTTTACATTTGGCCCTTGATTTTACATTGTTACATCATGTTCTACTCACCTATATGAGTTTTGTGTCATTTTGAGTCGTTTTGAAGATATTTGGTTAGGTTATATCCAAGTAACGTCTTCTTATGGGCAATGACTTGAGGCATAAACTAAGCTGTTCATAATTTGTTCTTTATGGTACGCCAGCGTTCATAACATGTAGGCGAATCAAAGTCCCCAGACATCCACGGTTATATTTTTTATGTTTATATCTTTTAAAAACAAAGCTGCGCATGTATGATGTAATCCGTGCACCAGACAACAGTTTTTTGTTTAAAAAAAAAAAAAAACTTTATTTAACCAATGTACATTACACCAGGTGGCTACGCTCTACCTCTTATATATTTGGCTAGCTAATGTGAATCGTTTAATTCCATTTCGAGAGAGAGATCATCTGTGGTAGTAGCACTAGACATCTACCAGGCATGTGAGTAAAACTAGCAGCAGTTCAGCGGACAAGATGAATGAATTGTAGCCGGCGTGTGCAGATGACGTCATACACACACTGCTTTGTTTTTAAAATATATAAATATGAAAAATATAACTGCAGATGTCTGGGGGAGAGTGATTCGCCTACATGTTATGAATGCTGGTGTACCATAAAGCAGTGTTTTTCAAACCTGGTCCTCAAAGCACCCTGCCCTGCATGTTTTAGATGTTTCCCAGCTTTCACACACCTGTAATTAATTGATAGCAGATTATCAGGCATTGCTGAAATGCAATCATCTGAATCAGGTGTGCTGAACCTCAGAAACATCCAAAGCAGGGTGCCTTGAGGACCAGGATTGAAAAACACTGCCATAAAGAACAAATTATGAACAGTTCAGTTTGTGCCTTCAACTCATTTGCCCATAGGAAGATGTTACCTGGATATTACCTAACCGAATATCTTCAGAACAGCTCCAAATGACACAAAACTCATATGGGTGAGTAGTACATGATGTAATAATGTAAAATCAAGGGCCCAATGTAAAAAAAAAAACGAAATTCCCCTTTAATAAAAACTCTAAATCATAACCAACTGTAGACTAGTTCAAAAGAGCACAGGCTGGGTAATAAATTTGTATCAATATATATTGCAACAGACACCTGACCAATATCAATTTAAAATAACTTAGATTAAAAATGAATTATTACTTGTTCCACTGTAGTCTGATCCAGAACCTTATGGTATTCTGTAAATATAGGCAGAGTTTCCTCTGCCTATATTTACTCTAATTAAGCAGAGTTGGTAGCATGGCTGATCTCATTTTAAAGGGTTGGAGTTACAATTTAAATTTGGCCTTTTTCCCCAGGTCCTCATTTCAAATAGAACAACAATAAAAAAAATAAAAAAAACGCTAATCAAAATGTTTGGGTATTGACTTTTATGAAAGGTGTACATCATGATACTTTTGGAAGACGGATGGCCCAGCCATAATATACGTAGACACAATCTTTTTTTTTTTTTTTTACATAATTTTACACTACACTTTAGTGTAAACGGGATGACAGACTAATATTTACTTTTTTAATAAAAATGACTTCTAGAAAGAAATGTAGTTTTTAAACTTAATTGGTCAAAAAGATATGCAAACTCAAATATGATTGTCTCTCATTTTCAGGGCATAGAGCAGTTGAAAAAGGAAGAGCGAAGATGGGCAAAAAAAACTAAGAGGATGAACATGAGGGCAGTTTTTGGACATCAATTCTCTTTATTGTGGTTAAGCCCCTTCTCCACCCCAGACCATGGTAAGGCAGAGACCTACCAGTATGTGGTGTGAGCGAGCTTGGGACAGGAAATGAGATGGATGGAAAAAACTAGCTCTGTCCCACAAAGTTCAGCTAAGGAGCCCTGCTTGCTCCAACTCAATATTAGTTGCAGTTTTCTTTTAAAAGAAGCAACGGACACCTTTATTTGTGCCAACTAAGTGAGAAATTTATTTTTTTGTTTTGTTTAGTTGCAGAAAAAAAAAAAGTTATCAGTCTGTTTGCAAACACTGTGATTTTTTTTACTGATCTTTTCTCTTTTCAAAAAGTTAATTATTTAAAGGGTTGGTTCAGCAAAATTACAAAGTGGGAGGAAATAGACAACTGCCTTTTTATCACCTAATCATGCAGATATAGCCTTTCTTATCATTCAGCTGGTAAAAAGTTGGAACATACGGTAGCATGGAAGCATTGAGTTTAAATCTGCATGTATCATGTACATGAAAAGGAATGTACTTACCCGATCTATAATAAAAAAAATAGATATAACATCCTATATTGTGTATACATAATGCCTTTAAAAAGATTCTTTATTCCTTCAACTTTTTAACAGTTCATATGGTGCGTCTTCAGTTTAGCTTTTGGGATATTTATGAGAATTTAGCACAAAGTAGTACATAGTTGTGAGGAAAAATAATAGTAGCCATGCATTGGTCATTAATCCTTCATTAATGACCAACCCTTTATTGCATTAATGAAAATGGTTGGAGACATACCCCGAAAAAGACTTGTAGCTGTAACTGAAGTAAAAGAGGGTTTTGAAACTGAGAGTCAGAAATGGTTAATTAAAATTAGCCCTGGGCAATAAATTGCATTTGCAATGCAATCGCAATTTAGAAAAATAACATTTTGAAATTACAGAAGCTTTCAACTTAAATCACATTACATTTATCTAGACTAAGACACTAAATGTCTTAATCCAGCCTTTTATGTAGCAATAATTAAGGTAAGATTGGTGCCCAGCAGAACAAAAGAGAGAGTTGCTGCTAGCATACAGATCCATGTAGGATAGTAGAAGCAAGAGCTTTTTCATTGAAAGGTTACAGTAAAGTGGTGCATCAATGGATTCTGGAAAAGCAAGCTTTTCATCGTCATAAATAAACTGAAAACCTTGATGGAAACATTTAAGCTTACGCTTATTGCCAAGGGCAACAGCAATAAAATCGGAGTCCCAATATTGGTTGAAAATAATTGCAATTAAAATTTTTGGCAAGTTTTGGTAATGAAAATACATGACACAGTTTTCTAATGTAATCAGCTTTTAAAACCATGTATCATTTTTCATCCTCATTTCACTACTATTTATCAAGTCTACACTACTTTGTGCTGGTCTTTCTCCTGAAATCCTAATTAAGTCTTAACTAAAGTTGACTTAATTGTGATCAAATCTATGCAGGTCTTCTGTAAGGAATTGTAGGGCTCTTTATTTTGGGTGTTCAAGCCAACATTGCAAATAGTGATGATCTATAGTAAGTTTTATGTTTAGCAACAAACTAAAGATAAGCTTAAAATTCAACAGAGGAGGTGGAATTATACAGTGCCTATTTTCTGTAATTTAGCTGAACTGACCTTTTAACTTTTTTTGCACATTGATAAAATGAAGTTTTTCCAATTTAAATGATTTCTTTGAAAAGTAGATCAATGTTCTGCCAAAACCTGCTGTAAGGTACTATAAGGGACGATTCTAAAAATGCTTTTTTCCTTTTTGCCTCAAGTTCCACTGCATAGATCCTACTTTGTCTTGGTTTTGTTGACCTTTTTGATTAAATTAAAAGAAAGATGTATTATGGCGACTATTATTAATAATCAAAGGTAAAGGACGGAGTATTTAGATGGCACAACTTGTTGAAATTCATTATTTTCTTCCTTTTTTTATAAAGTCACTAATCCAGAAGGCTTTGGTGTTGTAATTTTTGCCATTTGAGAACTTTGTATTAGAACTGGAAAAAAAGGTAAATTCCATAAAACTTATCAAGATTCAAGACAAGTGAATTCAATACATTCTATTTATTGTCTATGCCTAAATGTCTTTCCTTTATTACTTAAAGATTTGCTGGTGAAGATTCTCAATCACCCTGAACATGGTAACTCCAAAAGGAACAAAACAACTGGGGAACTTTTTTGATTGAAAGGGATTCTGGATTTTATAAAATTGTGATAAAAACCCATGTCTATGTTTTATTTTTATTGGCTTTACGAATATTGGAAACTTACACTAATCTAGATAAATGTTTCTTACTACATGTGTAGTTGGGCTTAGGCCTGTTCCAGTGACAGTTTTACAGCTACCAAAGTCTTCCTTTATGCAGGTCTATTGTGTTTAGTCTCTGTAACTGAGATGGCAGAGAAAGTGCAGTTTTCTTTGGTTCTCTGAAGCATACAGTAACTCACAAGTGACCTTCTCCCTTATCTGGATAATTAAGGCACATCAGCTAGTGTTGTGAAATGGCGCTATATAAACAAACTAAACTAAATTGAAACAATGATACATTTCTGGAAAGCTTACATTTGGCTGTTTTCTGATCATCTGATCATCACCTAAGTAAAAGTGTGAGAAGTGCATCTCTGCACTTTCATTAATATAAGGCAGTTGTTTTGCTCTGACTGCTGGTGGCTGATTGAGCACAATCACAAAACTCATGAACCTGCTGTTACCATTACTGGTGAAAAAGTGCCAGTTTTTGTACAGTGATTGTGCTTTGTATGGAATTGTATGTAAGAATTGTAATTCATGTATGGAGTTTGCAGCTTAAGTTTTTTTTTTTTTTTTTTTTACCGATATGTCTGAGCTTTACAGAGGCGTTTTCTAATAATGCTACCTTTTTCAATGTTGGTGACAGTCACTTATATGATAATACAAAGCTCAACACTTGGTAAGTGCATACTCACAAAGTTATAGTTAATGGAGTAGTTCTTACACAGTGGATGTTTTTTGTTTTTCATGTTACTAGCTCACAAGGAAGGATTGTGATCCCTGAATTGAAAGTGACAACTGAAAACTGCTCACGTGTAACTAGTACCTTAATGGCAAAGTCCGACAGAGAAAACCGATGTCAGCATCCAGATTTGACCATGACAGTCCTCAGAGAAGAAAGCTTGGCTGTCTGAAAGCAGCTTCCATATGAGTTTAGATACCTGACATACGTAGATAAATAGTTGTTGATTGAAAATAGTCAGCCCACATTAGTGATGCATGATTGTAATTTATGTTCTCAACTATAAATGAAAAGTTTAAAACAGTAACAGTGATTGATTTACAGAGTTTTGCAGAGGTCTAAGGCTACGTTCACATAGCAGCCTGAGGTGAACCAAATAAAAATTTCAAGACAGTTTGAACAACACAGATCCAATTTTTCAAATGCAACCCTTGGCTTGGCTATCTGCTCCTGAATCCGATATGAATGGGTTCTTTTCAAATGCGACCTGTGTCTAAGTGACCAAGTCGCATTCATCCCACCTGAACTTCATTAATACAAAGGCCCCTATTCTGAGGCTTGCTACGCAGAAGCGGGAAGAAAAGCAAACAACCATGGCAACGATAGTGTGGAGAGCAGTCTTTATTTTCAACCGTCTTGAAAAGACTGTGTTGTTAGTGCACTGGCTGAGGTTGGGAAAGAATTTAAAGATTGCAAGATGTGCTCTGGCACTACTATCCATGTTTACTTCTGTAAACACAGAACATGCACGATTTTGATGTCGTGTCCTCTACTGTGCATGCGGGACGCTTAAAGGGGAACACTGTTTTTTTACATTGGCCCCTTGATTTAACGTTATTATCATGTTCTACTCACCCATATTAATTTTTCATCATTTGGAGCTGTTCTGAAGATATTCGGTTTTGTAATCCAAGTAATGTCTTCCTATGGGAAACGAGTTGAAGGCACAATCTAAACTGTTCATAATTTATTCGTTATGGTATGCCAGCATTCATAACATGTAGGCGAATCACTGTCCTCCAGACATCGGTGGTTTTATATATATATCTTTAAGAAATTCATCCTGTCTGCTGAACTGCTGCTAGTTTTACTTACATGCCTGGAAGATGTCTAGTGCTACTACCACAGATGATCTCGTTCTTGAAATGGAATTGAACGATTCAGATTAGCTCGCCGAATGAATATAAGGGGTAGAGCGTAGCCGCCTGTGGCCCTGGCTGCCTGTCACAACTCCAGTCAGGCGCGTTGATGACGTCATACACGCTCTGCTTTGTTTTAAAGAAATATAAATATAAAAAATATAACTGTGGATGCCGGAGGGACAGTGATTCGCCTATGAATGTTGACCAAAAAGAACCATAAAGACTAAATTATGAACAGTTTAGTTTGTGCCTTCAACTCGTTGCCCATAGGAAGACGTTACTTGCATTACAATACTGAATATCTTTGGAACAACCTCTAATGATAAAAAACTAATGTGGGTGAGAACTTCATGTAATAACGTAAAATCAAGGGGCTTATATAAAAAAAAAAAAAAACAGTGTTCCCCTTTAACTTGTGAGAATGCTTTTCACACTGGAGATCAAATACATTTCACAAAAACGTCAGAAATGAGCATTAATGTGTGAACGTTGCCTAAGTTTCAGGCTGACCAGGAACCTACCAAGAAAACTAGGGCCAATGGATTTGCTGTCTAGAATCTAAAAGCATAAGTACAAAAATGTAATTTTGAATTTGAAAATATATATCCCTGATTTGAAGCAGAATTAAGGAAGCAGATATGATTCGACAGACAATTTCAATTGACCCACTATGTTTTTCTCTATGAAGAGAAGAGTGGAAAAAACCCACTCAAACCCACAACCCAATAAGCATGTTTAAACCCATACTTAAAATAGCTTTTATTTGTTTTAGATTTTGGCCAAATATATGTGTTTTGGGTAAATTACAATACATGTTATAGACAACATTTTGGCTTCACTGATTTCCTTTTTCCTATAAAGCCTATTTGTAAACATAATCACATACCCATTCTGACTTTTTTTCACTCTGACGCTTTAGGTCAAGCAGTCCAGTGTTTGATCATTCTTGCTTTTGATTTCTGATATCTGTGCTTTATTGAAGGGCCACAAGAAAAGGCTCACCTGTGTTTTATTGTGTATTCTTACTCCTTTGATGGAGCAGTGTGGGAAAGTTCACCAGAGAAAAACCCAGTGGACTGCCTATGTGCTTTTTATCCTCAGCCAAAGGTTCATTGTTTTCCAATAAATGCTGGATTTTATGACACCAATTATTCTGTTTCTTTGAAAGCAAGTTTGAGGCTTTTATTTACTATTGATGTAACTGAGTTATGCCAGCAGTAAAATATGTTTTTGAATATGTGGGCTAGGAGGGGATATCCTCTCACCTGTTTCTGCAGCAACCTATTTTGAGTTAATCAATTCCCTTGCTATGTGGACACATTGTAGAAGTGTGTCAAAACCAATAAAGCCCAAATGATTCTCAGATGATTTGGTCAGCTGTGATATGAAAGTCCTTTGAATGAATTCTGGCTTGGCTTTAAAAGCTTCAGCTGGAAGTTGGAAGACTTTAAATCCAGTGTGGAATTAAGTTCAGAGAGAGTAAAGCGGGCAAAGTTACATTGCTGCCATGATAATCTGCAAATATCTCAGCTTCTTTAAATCATTTCAAAAAATGCACACTTTCACCATTCATATTCAAAAATTACAAACTCTGTTCTTGTTCATTATTAGATATTTACTATCTGTTTACATAATGTGGTTTGTATTTTCTGATGTGTGAATGCATGGTGGTCAGTTTAATCGTCTATGTTAAAACACAGCTGGTGTAATGATCCTGATGGCAAGTTTGATGTATGTTATTTTCTTTTTTAAAATTTTCAACTATTTTATAAATACTGCAGATATGTTTGAGCACATGAAGCAGAGAATAAATCCCCCTCTGTTGCAGAGCAAAACTGTGTTTGCTTGCTTTTTTGGGAGGGTGGATGTGGACTGGTATTGATGCTTTTCTCTCCTCACATGATCTTTACACATGGCCTTTGTTTTCCTTCCATCCCTGTTTTCCTTTATTTAATCTGCCTCTTTCCTATGCAGTGTCCTCTCCACTGTCATGCGTTCTGCTTTGGTTGATAACTCACTTTGCCCAGAGCTTTCTGTGGCAGACAGACATAATAATCTGACACAGGTAAGCTGCAGAAGAGCTTGCATCACTGTAGTCCCATCAAGCTAAAAATGTCATAAAGCATGCAAGTCATGGTAGACCCTAGGGGTGTCCCGATGCAACTTTTTTCATTCCCATACAACAGCGATATTGCTGCATTAAGTATTGACTTATTCCTATACTGACCCAATATGTGATGAGCATTAGTCATAAACACTTTTATTACTTTTTTTTTTATAACAGCCATCAGCAATAATTTCATTTCAATAATTGACACAGACTTTAACCCCTTGATGCCCAAATTTATACACATGTATATATCTCTAAAAAGTTTTTTTTTTTGCCTTTAAGTAGTTGCCAAATTTAAAATTAAACTGAAATTTAGAAATCTTTTTAATAATTTTAATAAAAATTTTGTGTATTACAAATTTGTGACAACATCTATAACAGTCAATGATAACATACATGGTTGGGGTCAAGTTGTATCAGAAGTACAAGCTTGCCAGCGGTTCCTAGGTCCACACAAGATACACTGCTATCTTGGTGATGTGCATTACAAAGGGTTTGTTGTATATTTGCAACAATGGGTCTCAATGGGGTTCAACAGAAGCACAAAGTAAAGGAGTGTTTCAACAGAAGCTTGCTTGTATCAAAAATTGTAGATGAAGGCGGATATATTCAGATATTCATTTTTTGGATGATAGTGGACTGATTTCTAATACCAGTATTGGATCGGGACATCCCTAACATTGCTTTAATTTATTTGTTTTTTTTTTAGTTCAACCAAATAACGGCAATGAAGGAGAGTCTAGTACAGCAAATATTGCATGGCTCATGTTTTTTTTTCTTGTTTGTTAAACCTATTTTTTCTTATTTTTGTTAAAACGCTTCATGTCTCATTACCGGTGCAAAATGTATTATGTCCATTGTTAATACATTAGCAGTACTGCTGTCCTAATTCGCCATAAAGTTAGTCTCCCATTTATAAAAACACGTGTTTCAGACACAAGCTAAACCGTCTTAAAGAATATGGAATTTTATTTTTACATTTTTCTAAAAAAGTCATCAGGAAAAAGTTACATTTCCCAGACTTTATTTCTCATTGAGATAAATAAAAAATGTGTATCTATTAAAAAAACAAAACAGAGTTTTGCATTTATATTTGTAAGGTCCTTTATCATAGAATTTAACTGTTTGTCAAACTGATCTTTTTGGTTCTGACAGAAAACGGATTGTTTTAAACTCATTCAAAAATCTGTGGAGGGCCATTTCGCTGCTTTTTGCCCGTTTTTGCCACTCTATTGATTCTCTTTACTCATCTTTAGACTACACTGAAAAATGTACGAATAAGAATTCTTACAAATGCAAAGTGCATTTACCCTTCATTTGCTAAAAACAAAGATCTGCCAGTGGAACAAGTATTATTGCCCTTAAAATAAGTTAGACATTTTGCAATTGGGATAAACTTACTGTGACTTACTGCATATTCTCTCTTTAATCCTCTAACATGGGATCTGCCTCAGAGCTTGTCTGACTGCCTGTGTTTCCTAGTGTCTAGCTAGTTGACAGTTACTTTTCTTATATCTGCTTCGTCTCCTTGAACCCCAGTCGGCCTCAGCAGATGATCGCTCACACTGAGCCTGGTTTTGCTGGAGGTTTCTTCCTGTTAAAAGGGAGTTTTCCTCTCCACTGTCACTACATGCATGTGAGGGATTGTCTTCAGGTCAATGCAGTCAGCTGATTTTCCTTAGATAGAAAACTTTGAACCAATCTAATTGAAAGATCTGGTGGAATTGTTTCTGTAAAGTGCCTTGAAATGACATGTGAATTTGTTACTATATAAACTGTATTGATTTGAATAGATAAGTTTTTTTCCTTCTTTTTTTAAGGTAATTCACCTTATTCCATTGTCAAATTTTCTTACTTGTCTGACAAAACAGGGAAAATTACACTTATCCATCCATCTTTTCTCCTGAGTGGGAAGCCATGGGTAGAGACACTGGCCTTACACTTCAATGGTAGGTGTTTAACTACTAGAGCTGAAATTTATTAATTGGATTAATTGTGATTATTTAATTCTAGTGAAATAATTTAGTAATTGATTAATTTTTAATTCGAGTATAGAGACTCTAAAACAGGCCTTTAGTTGACAAGGCAACACACTTAGAGCAGTAATTATAGAAAAATTGTAAAAAAAAAAAAAAAAAGGT